ATAATATTAAATATAATAAAGTAAATGTATAATTAAAACAATATATAATACTTACTAATATTCTATATTTTGAATGAAACAACATTTTAAAAAAAAATCTTTTATCATAATTTAGAAAGAGTATATTATAAGTCAGTCACTAAATTATTATTATATTTTTATTATTTATTAAATATTGGTGAAAAAAATATATTATTACATTATATATATTTAATAAAGATAGAATTAAAAATTTATTAAATTTTAAGAGTTAATGAGTTTTAATTTTTTTTTATTTTAATAAAACATATTAAAAATGACGTATTTCGATCCTCATCCTATATATAAGTTGCCTTCCGAAAGTAATTCATGATTCTTTTTATAATCATTTTGCATAAAAACTGAATCATTAATTATTTTTTTAATTTTACCCTTTCATCATTTTTAATGAGTAGATAATAAAAAGTTACACAATAGAGAAAATTATTTTTAAAAATTACTTATTTAATAAGGATAAATTAAAAAATTTTTTTCTTTTAGATAATATTAATAATTTAACTATCATTCTTTAATTTTGATAAAGCAGCTGCAAGAGACTTATAAATAAGATTAATGTGAGTATAAATGAAATTAGAGGAAGATGTAAATTTTAACCAACTCACATAGTTTAAAAAATTGGTTAAACATAATAGTTACTCCCTTTGGATCATAATATAAGACATTGATAACTACTTTTTAATTTTTAAAGAAGTGAGGTAAAATTTTAATCTTTTAAAAATATATATATCCTTTTAATTATACTCTCATTATGTATATTATTTATGTGCCTTAGTCATGACAATTGAAATTTCAAGATATTATTTTTCAAAAAATAAGTAATAAATAAAGTAGGGATATAATTAAAAATAATAATTATAAAAACTATCTAATGTTTTATATTTTGGACTAAATAAAATTTATAAAAGATGTCCTATATTGTAATTTAAAGGAAATATGGTAAAATTAAAAAATTTAGACTAAAACACTCTTGCATTTAATCTTTTAACATGTGAAAGAATTGAGGCCCCGTTTAGGATTATTGAATAGTTTTTTATGAAATTTGAATTGAAATTAAAATTAAAATCAAATTAAATTTTAAAAATATTTTTGGTATGTAAAAAAAAAATTTGATGGAATCCTAGTACTATTTTTGTTTGGTATATAAGATATAGAAATAGAATTATACTTAAAAGACAAAAATATTCCTAAAAATTAAAATGTATTAAAAGCATAACTATGATTTAATTTTTCATATACTATTTAATATATAAATGAAATATTATATAGATGATAGATATTAAAAATAAGTAAAATATTTTATAAAAAAACTATAAATATATTAATTATTATATGTATATATATATAATTTATATATATTTGAGAGAATAATGAATGAAAGCACAAGAGCTCGGCATTTTGAATTGTCCCTTTCGCCACCAAGCTCAATTCTTCCAGTATTAACTACAAATGAGCAAGGGTATAATCATCTTTTTAATTTTTTTATGATGATAAAATTATTTTTAAAGTTACAATTCTATATAATTGCTCCAGCTTTCATAGCTCCTCCCAAATAATCTAATTCAATCCTTTATCCTTGAACTAAGATTCTTGAGAATTCAAATTAATATGTAACGAATATAACTATTTCATGATTCTAGCCCTGATTCTTTTTCTAGTTTTATGATTGCACTCTACTAAACATTGCATGAGTGTCTTGTGAGAATGAATTCTAATTTTATAAGGGACAATTTAGAGAAAATGTGATAATTGTTTTTGGAATTTTGTAATTTTGTTTATAAAAAAATAAAACAGTTTCTTCCACAATAAAATACGGATTGAGTACAATGAAAACTTATAGTCTTAATGGGGTAAGATTACTTGTAAATCATGAAAACTAAGTCGTAAATACTAGTAAAAAGAAGTATTTTTTGGCTGAAAGTTAAGAGAAACATGATGTTCAATACATTTAGGCCTTGTTTAGTATACAAGTCTCAATTTAAAAAGATTAAAATTGAGATTAGGATTGGAACTAGAATTAAAAGTGGGGATGAGATTTTAAAATTATGTTTGTTATGGAGTAATATTTATGAGGAATACTTCCTTTTATTTTATTTTATAATTAAATATAAATTATGAAAGATTATAATATCTCTTGAAATAATAATAATAATAATAATAAAAAGCTTAGAAGCCCCTTAGGAGAAACCGCTGGTTCTAATGCAATTTGAGTTGTTCTTTATGCGCGTCTTTTTTTTGTTAATTCCTAAGCTTCTTACTGTTTGCATTCATGGCAGATTGCTGCTATTCTTTGTGCACGACATACTCTCTCGCCTCCCTCTTGCAAGGACAAAGCCAGGTCCTCCTTTTGCTTATTGTACAACTGCTAAGTCCAAAATGCATTGGAACTCATTGCACTTTAAGGATAAGTACAGTGACTTCATCTAGCAAATCAAATCCCATCCCACCAAGGTTGACACTGGTAGAAGAGAGGCTTGGGTCATCAATCACTCTTCTTCTTCTCTCATCTTTGATCTCCTTCTCCCTTCAGCTTTGGCAATGGTGCTGGAGGACGACGTCGACATCGATGGATGAGAGGACGACATTGGCGGATGAGAAGGGCATTGACATTGGCATTGCTTAGTCTAAAAGTACATTGACTGAGTGAGTGAGGATTGAGGGAGAAAGACAATGGGTGAGAAGTGAGGGCAATTTGGTTTGAAAATAATCAAACTCAAGATTAATTTTTTAATATTAAAAGGTGGTGGTATTGAGTAATTTCAGTTAAGTGAGATTGGGATTATGATTGAATTTTTTATTTTTCATTTTCTTATATCAAACATGAAAAGGTGGGATTATTCAATTTCACTACCAATCCCACACTTTCAATTCTTCCTACCAAACAGGGCCTTAATATGATGAAATGGAGTTTATAGATAGGCAAAAATGATATTTTTTTGATTTTATGTATAAGATAGAGAGAGGAGATTTCTATTTTTTTGTTTTATTTATAAATACTATATTAAATTTTCATTGTAAATTCTTTCATTTCACCTTTGTTAAATATTAGAGAAAAAAATATATTATCAAAGTATGCATATTTAATAGAAATAAAGTTAAAAAATAATTAAATTTTTAATAGAGTTAATAAATTTTTAATTTTTTTAATTTTAATAAAACATATTAAAGTAGTTTATAAATAAAAGCTGATGAATATCTTAAACGAAATTTATTAATACTTTTTTTATTGTACATCAGCGTCTTTTAATGGAAAATAATCCTATTCGTACGTGCACACTTTTCTAGTGAACAGTCGAATCATCATCCATACTTTTCTACTTTGAACATCAATCTATTTATAACTACTCTCTCTATTTTTTATTATAAAAACATTATCACTTTTTATTTAGTATTTTTTGTAAATAAAATCATCCATTTCAACAACTATTTTTTATATATTTTTAAATCACCCTCATAATTTATATTAATAAAAAATAATTATATAAAATATTTTTAATTCTTTAAAATGTAGTTATTGTTTTTTTAAAAAATTATTTTATTAAAAATTAAATTTAATTAAAAATATTTTATATTTTTAAATATAAAGAGAATATATATATATTCAATCAATGTCAAATTTTAAAATTTTTTTAATTGAAAATTCTTAATTCCTAGTTATTATTTTTTTAAAAAATATTTTTATTAAATAAATAGTTTTATATTTATTTTAAGATAAAATATTTTATCAAATAAGAATAAATATAAAAAAATAAAATTAATTTAAAAATAAAAAATTATTTTATTAAGGATTAAATTTAATTAAAAATATTTTATATTTTTAAATATAAAGAGAATATATATATTCAATTAATGTCAAATTTTAAAATTTTTTTAATTAAAAATTCTTAATTCCTTTTGACGAAGAAATATGTAAAAATAAATGTCATACACACACACACACATATCATGTAAATGTCTAATTTTGTTCCCAGAAAAAGATTGAAATGTCGGGGTTGTTAAGTAGAAAGGATTTTTCATTTTACCCCTCATGCAATGTCTAATCAAATGTCCTGCGTCCCTACAACAGCTTAAGTACTCAAACCGAGAGATAGTACCTATCCAATGAGGTCCTAAATAAAGACTATTCTCACATTCCAAGCTAGCAAACGGACAAAAAGCAATCAGACATGTTAAAGTAAAAGTAAAGCATTTCAACGCACCCCACCACTCCCACCCTTTGCTTTTAGCTCGGGATGTGGACGGGGCCAGACCAGACCAATCATATTCATCATATCAGATATTGTAAAACTTCGATATCCGATAGACGCCCCATATCGAGTTAAAGGGACTTAATAGAAACCCAGACTAAGACTCAGAGCAAGTAGGGGCATAATTTTTTCAGGTAGAAGCTTTATTATTAATACAGTTATATTTCAAAATTTGAATTCAAGACATGCGACTAAATTAATACAATGCTTTTACCAATTGAGGAGAGGGTTGGGTGGGTTTGTTCAGCAAAAATGGAGCTGATTTTTGCATAAAGCATGCAGTATGCTGAATATACTTCCGTTATTAAAAAATATAAAATATTTTTAAATTTTTTAAGATATAATCATTATCTTTTTTTTAAAAGTGCCTTGATAATAACTTTATATTTATTGTAGAGTGTTAAATAGAGATAAATATAAAAAAATAAAATTAATTTAAAAGTAGGTAATTTTTTTTATTAAATGATAAAATTCAATTAAAAATATCTTACATTTTTTAATGAAGGAAGTACTTTATATTAAATTGATGAAAATTTAATGAGAGCTTATACTAATTCAAATTAAGTCAGGACAAGATCTTTTTGAATAGAAACTCCTACATTTTCAACACTGGAACTCAAAACCTATAATTAAATTGATACACTCCTTCACCAGTTTGAATCAAGCGTTTGGTTTGGTGGTTTGTTGAGCATAAATATTGATAAACAAAGAGGGAAATAATAATTAAACTTTCCATTGGATAAAGTGTAGCTGAAGAAATTTGAAAATGATATCTACATACAACAGTGAGAAGGATACATGAATGGCACTAGGAGACTGTCATATACCGACAAGAAAAGGGATGAGATATTACATCAGTCATCATCATATGAGACATGAAAATTGGTAGTGCAGCCAGATGCCTCTGGGTCCTCAGCCCCACAACAGTCATAAAACCTGGCCGCATACGGCGGGTCATTGGGCCCCAGTTCATAGTACCTTCAGAGATAAGAAAGAAAAAGGCAACATGAGGAAGATCATGACAACCTAAAATAGCAATAGCCAAACTAATTCTTTTGTATTCGTTTTTTTTTCCCTTTTTACTCACAAAATTTGAATTGAAATTTAAATTCAAGATCTTAACAAGAAAATCAAACCCCTCCTTATTTGGACCAACGGAGCAGCCAATGTGGTCGGTGGTCATGTGTTCATAAAAGAGGACAATGTCACCGTAAACGATAGGCTTGCTCTCTAGCTCATGGAGTATGAAGAACATATAAATACAAGGCACCTTATCAATTATAATTAAATCTAAAGGTTGCAGTGATATATATATATATATATATATACACTCTTTCCGTTTAAAACTATAAAACATTTTTAATCGAATCTCACCTTTCAATAAAATAATTACTTACTTTTCAATTAATTCTAACTTTTCATATTTATCCCTATTAGACACCTTACAATAAATATAAAGTCATTATCAATAAAGACACTTTTAAAAAAAAGACAATGATTACACTTCAAAAGATAAAAAATGCTTTACATTTTTGAACATACAACTTCCTAAAAAATGCTTTATATTTTTAAACAAAGAAAGTATATATATATATATTGCATATTATAAATTTATATTCTTCAGGGCAGACATTTTTATTAGAGATATGGGAATATACATGCCGCTACTGGGGAGCATGAATTAGCATACTCTGCTTTATTTAATTTAAGGTATTGCAGATTATAATTACTTCTAATATTACAGAGTATAATTACTTCCAAGATTTTCAGAATGAGTTGAAAAATCCAGATGATGAAGAAATGGTTCAGAGACACTAAAAAAGACAATTAGGGATATAACATGTTTCACGCTATTTTTTTTTTTACCAACATGTTTCACGCTATGACTTATCTGATTCTAGAAAAATATGGTCTGAACAGTACTATGTGGAAAAAAAAAATGTTTCTATAAACTATTAAATGTATTAAAAAATCGCCAACAACCATACCACACCTGTAATGAATCAGCCAGCTGAATTAGTTGGTCATCAAACATATGATGACTACCAACTTTTCTTCTGGAGAAAATAATCCTAGAAATCCCTAAGCATTTACTGAGAGGCAAATAAGCTTGCATACAGAAAGGCAGAAGAACCACTTTTCATAAAATGTCAGTATTGCTACTGAATAGTGTCTCAAATTCATACAGAACAATAAGACACTGTAACAAACACACAAGAAATATTATTGGAAAAAAGAAAATTCAGGGAAGACTTTTCAGTTTCCTTTTAAGTTTCCAAATTTGGAGGAGAAAGGGAAAACGATGAGATGGCAACAAGTCTACACGATTCATAATCATTGATGCATAGCCTAATAGTCTTTTTTTTTTTTCCGGTTGACTTTAATTAGGATCTCAAATTGGATTTTTCAGACCTGATCTTGAAGACACCTCTTGTATCATTTAGCCGAAGTTTATTGGCATACAATTTTTTTGGGTTAATTTTGAATCTGATAAGGATTTGAACTCAAATTTTCAACACTAGAAACAAAGCACCACTGATGCAACACACACTCACACACACTAGCATAATTCTGGACAGAGGGAGAGAGAAGAGAGAAATATAGAAGCAGGGAGGGGGAAGTGAGAATGAAGAACAGATAGAGGCAGATTAGGGAGAGAGACAGGGGGAGAGGGAAGAACAGAACAGTAGGGGAGTAAGAGATTGAACAAGAACGTAGGGAGAGAAAGAGCAATCAGATTTCTACTATTCATTCATCATTCAAGTGTGTTTTTCCAAATATAAGAGGCAACATATTTATAAGCTTAAGGTTATCTAATTATTCCATTAAGAAATCATCCCACTAAGAAAACATGGACCCAATCATCCCATTAAGAAAACATGGACCTATTAAGAAAACATCCCACTAAGAAAACATGGACCTAACATCCCATTACGGCAAAAGATCCTACTTTCTTCTAAAATAGCATTTTCCAAATTTCCTATCAATCACTGAGCATCAGCCCATTGACACAAGAATCATGCAATTTTGCAGCGTTCGAATGAAGTAGAAAATGCACTGCTACTTGAGAACTTGAGATTACAATGACGGGGTAGGTTGACACATCCCAAAGAAGGAAAGAAAAGAACGAAAAAGGAACCAAATTTTAATGAGTTTTAGTAGAATTTGGAAGAGACTTGGAATTTTTGAGTGGTAAGAAAGTAATATAATGGAATGAAAGAGATGATTTTCGTTTCACAATACTGTGGCTAACAAGCCTAAAACTACGTACTGTCCTCTCCCCTTTTCTTTTCCTCACATGCCTTTAGTGCTTTACTGGTCCTGCGTCAATGAAGCTCTATCTGGTCCTTGCTATTTCTAAGATCCGTGATGGAAGTGCAGATGTGGGTTCAATAGCAAACTGCTATTGATGGAGGCCCATCAAATTGTTTAGTGTTTTCTTGGGTGAATGTAGGTAGCTGAACGAGCTCCAAATCTTTTTTCCCCCAGAAACAAGCTCCAAAATTCAAACAAACAAAAAATAGAGATAATTGGATCTTTAGCTTGTGAGTCTTGAATTTGATGCTGGCGCATCTTGCATCAATTGTATACTGAGACGATTATATTACGAAGTAGGTATTAATGGAAGTTTCCCAACAGTCAGCTTGCTAGTTTCTAAGGCAATACTTGCAATAAAAAATTGAATTCCTTTTGTATGAGTCTTTATTAGTGTCAACCTTTTTGTTTTCACAAACTTCCCTTGTGATGGGCAAAATAATCCAAGCTTAGAGTCTTAGAGTTGAAAAATAAAAGCAAATTCCTGCATACTTCCGAGCTATAAATCAATTCCCCATGGAATTCTTATCCTGATCATGGTGTGACGCTTTATCATAATACGTGGTCTCTGGATCTAGGGTAGTCTTACTCGGTACACTGTTTTGTGCTCGATAAAGTTGAATATTTTACAAGAACGAGTCTCTATTTTGTTACTGCTGTCTTATAAGAGTCCAATGTTCTAGCTTTATTTCTCTTAACTTGCAAATAGCTTAAAAGATGCTGAAATGGAAAGAAACTGCATAACGAATGTGGAGGAAAAAACCAAGCCCAAAAAACGAAACCAAAAAAGGAAGGGAGGAAGGAAAGAAAACAGATGAAACCAAAAACCTGTCAAGTAAATCAGAAAAAAAATTAGAAATTAACGTGATAAATCACTGGTATATTCTAAAAAGACTCAAGGAGAGAAGGTGGAACTAGAGAGTTGAGAAATTTGAAAGATACAAAAATAAAAACAAATAGTTGCCAGAAAATCACTGATTGTATGGGGGGCAAGTTGGAAACGAAAGAAAGTGGCAGTCAAAGAGTATTTATAAAAATGAGTTATAATGGAAAAGGTGTGGGCAACATTAGAGGAGCATGCGGGGAGTGCTAGCCTCTAAAGTGCTAGCATGCATTCTTGTTTATATTCATGTATCTGTGACTTTGTATAGCTGTCTCAGTGTGATTTTCTATGTTTATGCTGCTGAATTTGAGGGTTCCATTGCTATTTTCCTTACTGTCTGCTTTACAATGCTGAGTGTTAGTTCTTGTATGTGAACATTGTTAAGGGGTGTTATTCAGTTTAATTTTCCATGTCTTCTTTTCCCATGCTAACTTTCTCTGGAATACTAGAGGGTTCCATCATGATGAAACGTTTCACAGTCAAAGAAAAATAATGCATTTAACATGATCTCAACTCCAAACAACGAGTTATATGATTGATATATAAAGCTGTAAAATCAATAATTGCAAGAACCAAAATGTCATGGACTCTAAACCCATAGCATGCTGTGAATTCTTCAAGACTAGCACTGGACTACTTTGATCTACAATGAAAGTGTCTCATGAAATGGAAGCAATATCAAGTTATGCTTCGAAATGTGAAGTATAGAATCTGATAATACTGGTCTAGATATAATATAAGTGAAATAGGCCCGAATCATAACAAAAATATGATTAATTTGATACAATTTGCCGTGTAATCTACATATCCCCAACTCCTCTTGTTAGGGAAAAAAGAAAATTGAAAATTAAATAAACATAAGGTTTAAAAAAGAGTCTTTCACAATCGTGAACTTACAACATTATACATGACATCAATCTATATTAAGGGAACCTTTTCTTTTCTTTTTTCTTCTCAAGTAGCATAAACCACTCCAATCTCCCCTGCATTTTCTAATTGTCTTACAAGCCTCCATTGAAGCCGTAAAAAACCTACACATACGTCACCTCTAACCCCAAATAAACTTCTATGATTTTTTGGAGATAAAAAAACTCCATGTTCTAACTTTCGAATAATGGAGCGAAAATCCAAGATATTAGAGTATTATAGTATTTTTCCCCTCACAGAAATACACAAGAAGGGGGAGTTCAAACAGATAGAAAGTAAAGAATTAGAAGAAAATAAAATTGTAAACCAACTACACAACCAGGTAAATAAACTACAAAGATTAAGCGTCTTTTTTAAAAAAAAAAAAATTGAAAGCATATGAAACTCTCACAATTCCCACATATGAAACTAGTGGCAGATGACACAAATGGAGACGACTAGCGAAAGAGCTGTGCTGGAAGAGAACAGAGGATAAGGGAAATCCATGACATGATAAGAATTCAGAGATTTAAAGAACTTAGGTTGTCATTCAATCGCACGTGAGATGCTGAATCAAAAGACAAACATGGAAGGTACCTTTTCTGATCGTCGTGACGGCGACAAACGAAGAAGGAACGGTGGAATCGGCAAGACGCAGAAGTGTTGGAAGTAGGATCGTAAGATTGATTGCATCTCTTGCAAAGCTTCAACTGATTGTGCTTTTTCTCACTCTTCTCCATTTTCCAGGTTCGGACGCTCAACTCTCTGGTCGCTTACGGAAAGCTCTTATTATTATTATTATTATTATTTTTTAAAGTTATAAAAGCATATACATATAATATATTAATATCAAAATAAAATGCGAAATCCAGTTTGGCCAAAAATTATCTCAATTTCGAGTTTAACTTTTATTTATATGATCGTATTAAAATTTACACACAAGATAATATAATATTAATAATAGTTATGTAAATTAGTAAAAAAGTGTAATTATTTAAATAAAAAATAGATCGCAAATTAAAAAACAAAATTAATTTGATATATGTGGCACAGAGAATTATATTAATAAAAATTGAATTGATCTGAGATTTAATTCATTCTCATTTAGTGTGTGTATGCACATATGTCAACTCATCAACATGTTTTTACATACTTCATCCATTGAAAAATATAAAATATTTTTAATTAAATTTTACTCTTTAATTAAGTAATTATTTATTTTTAAACTAATTCTATCTTTATATATTTATTTCTATTTAATAGGGTGTTTTACTTTAAAAAAATATAAAGTAATTTATTCAATTAAAAGTACTTTTGAAAAAAAAGTAATGATTATACTTTAAAAGACTAAAAATGTCTTAAATTTTTGAACATCTAATCCCTCTAAAAATATTTTATATTTTTAAATGGAGGGAGTATTAGATTAATTTTAGAGTTAATTTATGTTTAAAACTTAAAAGATTAACATAATAATTAAGAAAAATGTAAAGGATTAAATTGATTAAAATTAACCGTAAAAAACAAATCAATAACTAAGGCTAACTTGAGGTGTTAAGATAATGAAACTTTTAATCTCTTAAATTAGTTATCAATTTGGTTCTTCAAGTTTAATTTTTATGAATTTAATTTTTTAAATTTGTTTCAATTATTAATTTAATTCGTATTATTTAAAGATAAGGTAATAATGTTAAAATCTGTTGACAGAAAATTAATGGCAAATATGTATATTAAATAAAAAATAGAAAAAAATTAATCTTTTAGTCTTTTAACTTTTAAGTCACTTGTAACTCAATCCCTTAACTATGACTCGCTGTGACTCAGTCCCTCAATTTTTGAATCACTTACAAATTAGTCCCTTAACTTTTGTTAATTTTTTTTTTCATGGTAGCTTATATCTCATATTAATGAATAAGAAGAGAATATTTTAAAATAATATATGAGCATTTTTTATCCCTCTTATTTGATAATTTTTTTAAAAAAATTAAAAAAAAGGATCGAGTTATAGGTAAATCAAAAGTTGAGGGATTGAGTTGTAACGAGTTATAGTTGAGGGATTGAGTCGCAGTGAGTCATAGTTGAGGGACTGAGTTATAAGTGAGTTAAAGTTGAAGAACTAAAAGATTAATTTTTCCAAAAAAATATAATTATTTAGATAGAAAAAAAAGATTCAATTTTTTTTAAAAATGCAATGTAAGAGATTTGATTAATAAAGATTAAACTTATCTTAACTATATAAGATGTCAAATCATTCATGTTCTTATATATTAAATTAATTTGAAAGTTAATTTATGTTTTAAACTTTAAAGAACTAACATAATATGCTTAAATAAAAAGACTAATATAATACTTTAAGAAATTGTAAGGGACTAAATCCAGCAAAAAAACTTGTGAGATTAAATTAATAATTGAATCAAACTTGTGAGAGTGCAAATTTCTTTACTACAAATTTTATTATCCCATTAGAATTTGTATCCAGCTTCAACATTTAACTACTTAATTTTTAGCTTTAATTAAACGAGATGGGTTTCAGTGCACTTGATGAGCACCATGGAGCTCATCAATTAAACATATTATTTTGCTTATTACTCCCTTTGTCTCAGTTTACAAGACATTTAGATAAAATTATAAGTATCAATAAAGTTTATTAAATATACTTTGCAAATTTATTTTTTCAAAACAAAAATATAAATTTTTAAAAATATTTTTCATTTAATATAATTAAAATAGAGAAAGTATAACAAGAAAGAAAGAATAATATTAAAATAAGTATAATTAATAAAGCTTTATTTTTATTAAAGTTTGGAAAGCTTTTCGTGTGGTCACAGTTGATGGTTCATTAAAGGCTGGAGGAAAGTCTGAAGGCCAGAGGCTGAGGCTTGACGTTGGCAAGACGATGAAGGTAGAGAGACACGATAATGAATCGGCTGGAGAGGGCAAAATGGGATACCATGGAAAAGATTCAGATTGTTTAGAGGTGAGGGAGGAATCTGATTCCAGAAATTTTGTCAGAATAAGGATTCTTAAGAATCCTAAATAAAACAAGTATATACCATGATTCCATTTCTGATTTCATTTCCTTACTCCCGATTCTTGGATACCCTTAAAATGGGTCATTTTATATACATGTGACCAAGAAGGTAGTTCAGATTTTACAAACCTTTCCCCTCCTACACTATCTATGTATCATTGGGCAAAAAGAACATGCACATAGTGGAACAATCCAAAAGGGCAGCAATGAAGTCATCATAAATGTTCCATATTCATTCTGCCTTCATCATTCTCTTCTGATGAGCCTTCACTTCTAGAAATGATGTTCATGAAGGCCTTTGTGGCTTGGCCAACTGCTCTAGATGTCTTTCTTGCAGCTCCAGCAACAACCGGTTGAAAGGATATCATAGGCAAGCTCGCTCTCTCTTGAATCAAGGCTGTTCATATAAACTATCATCAGATCAACAAAGAAAGAAAAAGTGTTCTCAAAATCTCCTCATCTAATCCAGAGACATGGAATTCTACAATGTAAGTTGTTTTTTAATGGTTGAACAGAGAATAGGCTACTTAGTATTGTGATTTTCTGTCAATTGAAATTTAATGCTGAATGTATATAAACAGAGAGAAAAAAAATGAACTCATTTAGTGAGGAGAAAAGGAAATAAAATATAGTTGAACAATAAGATTTTCAATTTGAGAATCCACAAGTCCTTATACCATTTCATGCCTGAAAATATGAGTTCGTTCAAATTCCCTCTTCCCAAGACACTAATGTCCTATAGGCTCGAAACAAATTTTATCCTCAAGCACTAAAGTGTGTGCGGGGTGCTAAAGCGACAACAACATTATCATTCCATGACATCGTTCATAATAAGAATAAACACAACAAAGTTCAAATGAATAGATTATAAAGCAAAATAAGCAAAAGGAAGATAAAAAGTGAAGTTACTGTAACATAGTTAACCATTTAGATTTTGAAAAAATGCCTTTGTGATGTAATGAACCCTGGCATTCTTGAATAAAAATAACAGGGAGGAGGATAAGACATCCCAGACACGATGCATATTTAGCTTCTATTAAATTCATCCCAGACCATGCTTGTTTAGCTTGAGCTATTGCATTAAACCCAGAAAAATTTGATAAACTAAAGGAAAAAAGACACCCCGGCGAGCTGTTAAATGCTGTAACTAACATCAATCATTAAACCAAGAATAAAATTAAATGGTGGGGAGAGAGAGAGAGAGAGAGAGAGAGAGAGCAAAAGGAACACTAATAAACACGTCACACGTACAAACAGTTTGCTTCTGTGCCACAGAACCAATCTGTCGAATTCCAGCTTCAGCTGCTTGCAAAGCTTGAGCTGACTTGTTAACCCCGTCATGTATCTCCTGGCTGAGTTCCAAATAAATTATTTTAGATATATGCAAAACGTGGTTAGAGCATCACTTGGAAAATAATCCCAGATGAATAGAAATGGTCATCAAAATTATTTCAACCACTGTTCCCCACATTCAAATAACCTATGTTCTTGCATATGAGTCTTCAAATTTTTATAGAACTTTGCACCAATGTTAGATATTACATTCCCACATATATCCAACAATCCTGATTCTATGTAAGATCAAAATCTTATAGGATCCCATTTACATCTAAAGATCTTAATCTCGGGCTATATGGCCCCTAAAAGTATCAAAAGTTATGAGCCAGTATATCATTATCTCATTGCTTACTGTTATCATTTTACTACATGACGCCAAAACTTTCAGGTTAAATGTCGCAGCATTAATCCTGATAGTAGAAAAATTGCAAAAATTTCAAGTATCAATAATTGAAGGCACCAAGGGATTTCCCCTGCAATTTTGCTAAAACAGTTCACTTCTGCTTATTAATTATGACTCCATCCACAGCTTGTCAAATACAAGATTTGGACTGACAATTAGACAATATTCATGATTGAATTTCCTATTGCCAAATTTTGAAAAGAATTAAAAGGAATGGAAAATAAAATAAAGGGAATAACTCAGAAATTGATTTTCACCTTAGATCACTTAGTTCTAGTGTAAGATCACTGATTTCCATGCCTGAAAGCCTTATAGCAGCCATGGTACTAGGGAGTTCCTCACGAGCTGTATCTGCTAGCTTTGAAAGAGACACTGCAGCATTTCTCATTGCCTAACAAAAATTTAGAAATCTTAACATGAAGTAATCAGAATCTAATTATGAATAACAATTGAATAATTATGATGAGTATAAGGATGACATGTAGCATGTGCAGACCACAGAACATATAGTTAACCAGAAGAGCAGGATCACAAAGAAGAGTACTCTCTCCATTCCTTTTTATAAGTCACCTTTTAAAAGGAATTGATGATCCTTTTTACAAGTCACTTTGCATAAAAAGATGGATAGTTAATTAATTTCTTCCAACTTTACCCTTTTGCAATTTCTACGAGTAAAGTAAAAGGTTATATATGCAAGAGAAAGTGTTTTTAATGATAACATATTTAACAAGGGTAAACTGGACTTTTTTTTTCCATTTTCAAACAACATCAATAATTTAACTGTTTCCTTGGTTCTGAAAAGGTAGTTGAAAGTGACTTATATATAGGACTAAAGGGAGTAGTAACAACCTTAAGAGAGTAAACAAAGATACTAGAAACTCAAGTGAAAATAAAATGGTTTCTGCAAAGCCTAGAAAAAGAAAAATGGAAAATGGAAAAGATATTCGCAAGAATCAAGGTTACAAAAGAAGAAATCACCAGCACACCATTGGATACAATACTATGTTTGATATATTTCTACGAGTGCACATGCAAATAGAAGATTCCATGATTGGCAGTTTCACATTTAAAAGACACAACATCTGCAGAAACATGTATGCCTTTAAGAAAAGTTTGATGCCTATGTCTCGAATAGTTCAATGCAGCATGACCAGTTGTAGTTGGGCAGGTAGTTTCTTGGACCCAGAGTAGTTGTGCATCCCAGTACATTATTATATGATCAAGGCACAAAGATTGATGTATAATCATGTAATAAGAGTTTTAATCTAGGGCAGTTAAAGCTGGGTGGAAGAGATGAGATCAGGCCAGATATAGATAGTTGTTAAGACATAAGACTCATCTCCATTCCCCAAGATCATGTTCTCGCTTGTAAAATTTTTGAAACAAACAAGTTTACATTTCACTTCATTCATTGAATTAAATGCAAAAAATTGGCGAAACTGGCTATCTGCCTGTATGCACTGAAGCTTGAATTAAAGCTACTTTCTCATCCCTTTTCTTAGAGGTTGAATAGAGGGATTTCTAGATGTTTAGCTGTCACTTTATTGCTAGTCAAAAGCAGATTATTAAGGGCATTGATGCAATTGAAGGGAGAAATTGGCAGAAATAGTGTCAATATATGGTTATCCTAGCTTTCAGAATGACACCTGATGTTTTTGGACCTGCAAATAGAGTCGGGAATAAAGGCCGGGCTTGGAGGGCTTGTTTAAATAATAGTTTGTGCTTGCAAAATGGGGGACTTTTAGGATAATCGGGTTTCTGGGCCTAGCCTTGAAAAAAAAAAGGCTCGAGCTCGGGCGACCTGCAAACCTTGTTCTATTTTTTTTTTTCTCTTTTACATTATAACACACCATTTGGCAAATAGAAAAAAAATCCTAAGTATCGACCATTTCAAGTTCTCTAGCTCTCGTCCTCTTTCAACTCAACCTCTCCCTCTCACCCTCTTCTTTCTTCAAGTTGTCTCGCCTCTCTGCTCATCCTTTGGCTCTCTCTGTCTCTCAACTCACCTCTCCCTCTCATCTCTTGACTCAGCGTACCTCTCTCGGCATTCTATTGCTTTGTTCTTTTGGCTCTCTTACTCTCAAGCATTTATATATTTTGTTTCTGGAACTTTGTTGTGAATTCTAATGGCATCAACTAACATATATTTAGACTTTTAAATCTTTTACTTATTTTCTAGATGATGTGATGCCTGGATTTATTTTTTGTTAAATTTTAGAGTTAAATTATAATGTTAAATATTATGATGTTGAATTAAATCATTTTCCAAAAATAAATAAATTATAATATTTCTTTTTTTTTTTGAAACAAGGCTTCTGGGCCCCCCCGAGCTCTTTCAATAAGGGCCGGCCTCAAGATTTGGTAAAAATTTGAAAAATGGACTTTAGGACTTGGGCCCTTAAGGGCCTATGGGCTTGGCCCTAAAGGACTGGGCCTGCCCGTTATCCTATCTACCTGCAAAACCAGAGCCCTTGTACGACCAAAATTGAAAGGGATGAGATTAGATAATACAGGAACAGGAACAATATTCAGAATTCCATGGAGCTCTTAACTACAGGAATTGAAATATCAAGAGCATCAAATAAGGAATCGAAGAATCTACTGCTAAGATCTGGGATTTTAAGTATTTTATTATGACTTATGCCTTCTCAATACACAGATGCAAAATTCTTTATTTCAAAATTACAAAGACTAGGACTTGAGCAGAGATAATGAGTATATTTTGAATTTAGGGATCGTAGCCCAATCATTTTTTATCTGGTCTATTTGGATCGAGAGACAAGCTTGAGTTTTCAACAGTTTCCCTTTGCCTAGTTGCCATTGAATAGGGGCAGCCTTATGGCTTCAATTTGGTGTTCAGCTCAAGATCCCCATTGTTGGCATTTGGACATGTTTCTGGGCTCAGTTAGCCTGAGCAGGCCTAATTAATTATTAATTAGTTGGTCCAATTTGAAAAAATTTCCGAATTTGATCCTACTGATCGCGGAACAGGTTTCTCCCTTTCAAAACCCCAGATCTGATGCAGCAGTCAAATACATCAAGCTTGCATTATTTTCTTCCATTTTGTATCTTTTAAGACATAAGGAGTGCCTCTCTTGGTTTACAATTACTACTTTCTTCATGCATTATTAAATAAAGGGCAGAAAACAGGATAGAAATAAGCAAGAACTGAATTAAAATCATAAAATCGTAAAGCTTAAAAGCATCTGCAGCTATAACTACAATAAATAAATGTAAGCACAAACAAACAACAGGAAATAAATCTGACATAGAGATATTAGATGAGATCATCAAATATAAACATTGCGATTGTCAACTTACAAATAGTGTGGGAACAGCAGCAAAAACTAGGCTGGTGAATGCCACTGAAGTCTGCATATGTGAAAGTCAAGGTACCCAGAATGAGAGACAGATAAAATATAATTCAAATGTAAAGAAAACAAGTCCTCTACATACGCAATTTAGTTCAAAAATAAATTGCTCTATCTGTTTGTGTTAGCCTACCATGTTTATTCAAAATCTTGATTTATTAAAACATTACCATGGCCATTTTACGAACATTGACATATGGTAATATAGCATCAAACAGTAAGGATTTAAAATTTATTCTCTAAACAGAGGGCCAAGAAACCTTTAGAAAACTCACGAACTCTAATTTACTGTCACTACCAGTACTGAAAAAAATAGGGCGGAAACGTCGGTCATACCGTGCATGCAATGAATGCCAGGAGAAAGAAAGCTTGATCACTCAAACTTAAATTGGCCATGGGAATAACAAAAGATGGTGTTCTGGGACTCCCAACTGCACTATGAAATTTGTCATTCGCAACGACCGCTTCAGCCGAATCCCCCTCAATAGCTTTAGCCCGAGAATCTGATGATTGCGCAGAAGGGGTGGAGCAATACGTAACAAAGCGGGATGAATTGGGCTGAGAATTCAAGAAAAGGGAGAGGCGGACGTTGGATTTTCGCAGCAAGAGATTCAAAGTTTTGCTGGTTGGGTGTGGGAAGCCATGAATTAACGATGATGAAGCACAGAGATGGGTAGGATGCGAGGTTATGATTAAAGATCTCATAGCGGATCAGGAAATGAGACTACAACGACAATCAGAAATGATACATTAGAGAGATGGAATTCGGAAGAGCAGGGCACAGAACGAATATGTAAAAATGAACGGCGCTAGCTATCCTGTGACTTGCAGGCGGTCACGAAGAAATCGAAGAAGCATTCACTTCGAAGCGGTGGGTTGTCTCCCCCCCCCCCCCCTCCAAAAAAAAAAAAAACAATTTTTCTTGACCCTCAACACTTGAGGCCACCCAGGTGGCAAAAACGGGGAAAAAAAATATCAACCGAAGATTGCTAGAAAAAAAATGAAAGTATTTAAGAATTAATAAATTTTAAATTTTTAGTGTAGTTCCTTATATAAAATTAACTTTTTAAGTGAAATGATTAAATTTCTCCTAAAGTTTAAAATAAAAAGTCACCTACACTATCATTAGCATCGGCCATTGGATTGTCAAAGACCTATTAGTGTTTAGATAGCTAAAGCCCTTGCCATCAATGGGGTTGTTAGTGGTCAGCTATTGGAACTTTGATACTGGTGACACTTTTATTCATGCATAATTGATAACGGTGACTAAGGATAATTTGATTTCATAACCTCTTGATCGACTGAAGCCCCAGCCACCAGTGAGCATGCTAGCAATTGATCATTGGAGCTAAGGTGGCACTAACATTTTTGTTCAAGGATAATTGATAAATGGTGGAGGGGTTTGATCACAAAACTTCTTGGCCATTTAAAATATTTAGTGGCCACAAACCATTAAGCTCGTTTAATTATATGTGGCAAAAAAAATATAAGTAGTAATTTAAGCTTCTAAATCACTTTCATGTTATAATATAATAGTGTATTGTTAATTTTTGAATGACACTTATTATTTTACTAATATTTCTTGTTAATCAAACATGGTCAATTATAAATTAAGAGCTTTACAACTTTATACATTTGGATTATTGTCAAAATATGAATGGATATTTGTTGATGATGAACTAACACGTGCAATTAACCCTATCTTATTAGTTTTTTTAATTAACTTGTTAAAAACTTGCATCGATTGTTGTTAAAACCTAAATGGATATTTATTTATGAAGGATAACACTTTTATAATTAAGCTTATCCTATTTGTTTTTCTAACTTATTAAATCCCGAATAAATTGTTATTAATTTCAAATGAGTTATTATTAAAATTCAAATGAAAACTCATTATTAAAAGATTAAAACGTACAATTATTTAAAATTAATAATAATTCATTCAGGATTTAATAAATTAGAAAAGCGAATAGAATGTGCTTAATTGTACAAGTGTTGGTCCTTCATTAACAAGTATTCATTTAGATTTTAATAATAACTCATTCAAAATTAATAACAACTCATTGAAAATTAATATGATAGGTATAATTGTATGTATTAGTTCTTCATCAATAAATATTAATCTATTTAGATTTTAATAACAACTCATTCAAAATTAGCATAAATCCATTTAGGTTTTAACAAGTCCTTCCTCAAGAGCAAAAAATATAGAGTCTCTTGAACACAAAATATAGAATCTGCTAGACACAATATATATATATATATATATGTATGTATGTATGTATATGTATATGTATATGTATATGTATATGTATGTGTGTATGTATATGTATATGCGCGCGCGCATACATATAAATGAATGTGTGTGTACGTATATAGTTATATACTTAGCCTTGTTCCAATTGAATAAAAAAAGTGGATAAGCAAGAAAAATGGGCCAACCGGTTTAAGCTTAATAATTGCTAAGGTTGGGCTTGGGTTTAGAGCTTCAAAACAAAATGCAGGCTTATAAGGGTCAGTCCTAATGGGTTAAGGGCCTAAATGAGCTGGCCTTATAGGGCTGAGGGCTAGCTTATTTAGGCTCATTTGTTTATTTATATTTTAAAATATTATTTATTTTGTTTTGTTTAATTCAAGATAATGAGTTCTTTGGACAAAAAAACAATTGTTTGATTTAGTTTAGATTCTAAACAATAATTTGATTCATGCTACATATGTGTGTTAATATTTCTAAATTATATTTTTTTAATAATAGAGTATTTTTATATTTACATGATTTTGTATTGTATGACTTGACTTAGAATTTATAAATTTTAATGTTTTATTATTTGAAATAAGGGTATTTTTGCATAATCAAAATACTATTGGTATTAAGAGTTAAGATGTTATCTATGTAATTTGATATTGGAGTAAGATTTTATGTTGTAGTGAAATGAATTAATTATTTTCAATTTGAAAAAAATGAAAAAAAAGTAAAAAGACCCAAAGCCCGTAGGGTTGACTCTCAATCCATTATGCTTAGGGCCGAGCTTCAAATGTAAACTTTTTAAAGGATACCTGAACTTAAATGGGCTGGCCCTTTTAAGTTTGTGCGCATTAAGGGTCGAGCCAACCTATTTTTCCAATTATATGGATGTGAATCTTTTGTAGATAAAAAAAAATCTGTCTTCCTCTCCTAAATATTTATCATTGCACTCCATATATGATTGATATTCTATGTTTTATTTGTTTGGAACTTGAAAGTTTTGCCTCTTGGGGAGAAGAAGGGTGCTACGATGATTCCTGACTTGGAAGAAGAACACAAATCAAATGTCAGTGATTTTATGTTCAAGCTTATTAATGGTAAGCACGTTTTACATGCTGACGCAGTACTGGCCACCCCCAGCTATTTTTGTTCTCTTCACACACGTGCATCAATTTCAATTAGCTTTTGCTTAAAGGCCTTATCTTGCACACTATGCGACTAAAGAAAGATTATTCTCGCTCTTTATATCTTTCTTTAAATCATATAGTATATATTCAAATCAATCGCCATAAGTCATGAATAGTGTCACATTTCTCTTACTTCGAGCAATATAACATACGGTAACCATATCTAATTCAACAAAAAAAGTTATATTTAAAGAATTTCAGAGGACGAGTGTCAATAATTTATTATTATATGTAAGGTTCAGGGAAGGAGTGGAAGGCATACGGTGTTCATAGTATGGTTTATTCATATGCATATATCATGCCACTAATAAATTTTCTTTGTCAGTCATACGTACGTTCATGGGGACCTGGTTACGAAGACAGATTCTCTCCAACCTGGTTTGAAAAGGTCTTTGATTGCATAATACTGGTCCTGCATCACCTGCTGGAAATTCTTGAACGAGTTACGTATATACGCCATGATCTTATCAATGTTAATTAAAAGATGTTTATTTAATGAAAATATAACACACACACACACACACACACACACACACACACACTGAGAAAATATATATTAATTGATTATATATATACATACATACATATTTATCTTCTAATATTCCCAGGTGGATGGAGAAAATTGAATGGGATACGAAAAAAGAAGGAGATGCACAAATCGGCTGTCCAAATAATGAATGCACTTCTTAAGGACGATTTCGAGCCAGGGAATGGAACCCTGCTTGAAAAGTCTCCACTTTTACCGGTAAAAAAAAGATTAATCTATTATTCACAAAGCATGATGAGTAATATTAATATTTTATAAAAAAGATTCATATATATTATTCACAGTGCATGATGATTATAACCTAACATGGTGAGGGATTCAATTAATAGAGTCGGTGTCAATGATGAAAAATGGTCAAAAGAAAATTGGCAAAAAATGGGGTGAAAGAAATGGTGGAGAAAATTCTGGAATTATTTCCATCAAGCATTGAGGAGGTGAATGACCAGGAAAAAAACATTGGTCACTTTTAGATACTAGAAAAAAATAGAATGGAATGGATTAAAAATATAAAGGAAAAAATGAAATGATTAAAAGAAATAGTGAACCACGTTCATAAAGGAAGGAGATAATTTAGTTCAAGAAGTTGAGAATCATGATTCATAAAATTTTTGAAGTGTGCGTGTGATGATTCTCATATTTATAGTATATATTAATAAGTTTTTATCATACTTACTATAAAGAGAAAGGATGATTTATTTTATTTTTGTGTTTATCTTTTTAATTCATTCCATTCCATTCATTTTGGTACTCAAGCTTGACCATAGTCTTATTGGTAGCAGAAAAGAGGTAGACCAAAGTATATCATTTTCTGTGTAAAAAGAAAATCCTTAACCAAAATATCTTGGTCAACCATAGATTGATGATATTAGATTTCTTTTGAGCATTTTAAATATTTTCTCGTGTGTTGTGTTTCCTCTTGTTTTTTGTTGTTTTCTTGTGTTCTTTATATTTGTTCTTTTTATGTGTTTTTGTATTTTCTAGTTGTTTGTCTTATGCTTTCCTTGTGCCAATAATTAATTTATGTTTCTCTCTTGTATGGATTCTCCTTGGTAAACTGATGGGGCAAGTAGAGGATATGAGTATGATGCTCATATAAATTTTAATTATGCCATTTATGCTTGTGAATTCTAATATGATTATAGTTGCAATTATTATGGGGATTGTCACTCTAATGAGCAATGCCTTCATTTTTCACCTTTCAATTATGTGAAGGATGATTACACTAGGGCCTAAACTAGTTTGAATAGTAATACTATTAATTGTAGATGGAATCTTGAACAAACATTGTCTTGATATTTTACTCACTCTCTTCCTTCATATGTGCCACATCCTCATATATCACACAATAATTATATAGATGAAAGCAACCCCATTCATAAGGAGAAGTCTATAATAGAGGATATGCTTCAACATATCTTACATAATCAAAATGAAATGAGAGCTTAACAAGAAAAGAAAATTAATAAACAAGCATTGGCTCTTCAAAATTTAATACTTCATGCATGTAAAATGGCCTCTAACTTTGAGTCTTTGAATCAATAAGGTATTTTCAATGATATATCAAATGATGTTTCTATAAAAGATGAGGACTCAAGTGAACAAATGACAATGCGGAGTATGGAAGTGTTTCCAATAGCTTGTGATGATTTTGAGTATGATTGTGAGTTGGAAGTTAATGAGAAATGGAACAAAGAGTGTTTGGTTGATACTCCAATTGTGGAGCTTTATCCATTAGATTTTGAAGAAAAGAGAATAGAGGAAATTCCAAGAGTTTATATACATGATCCTCCTATTGATGTTATGACTCTTATTGATGAGAGTTAAGTTGATTTTATTGGGTGTTCAAAATATTTGAGGGCTTGTAATGATAATTGTGAAAAAATTGAATTAGAGCCTACCAATGATC